TGTGGCAAACTAGGTCACAAGATTGACAAGTGTTATGCATTACATGGTCGTCCTACTCGATCTACTGCAGTTGCTCAGACTGATCTTTCCTCACCTTTATCTGCTAAGGATCCTCCTTCTTCTATTTCATTAGACACACCTGATATGTTCAACAAATTTCTCAAATGGTATAAGGATCAACAGTCTTCTAGTTCCACTGTGTCTGTCGCACACACATGTACATCTTTTGCTGGTCTGACCCAATCTTCTTCTGGTCCTTGGGTTTTTGATTCAGGAGCCACTGATCATATTACTGGTAACAAATCTTTGTTCTCCTCTTTATCCTCTCCTGATCCTTTACCTTTTTTTACACTAGCTGATGGCTCTAGAGTATCATCTCATGGTGTTGGAACTGTTAAACTTTTCCCTTCTTTAACCATTGATAATGTTCTTTATGTCCCTGGGTCTCCTTTTAACCTGTTATCCATCAGTCGTCTAACTCATTCTCTTGATTGTGTTGTTTCTTTTACCAACAATTCTGTGTGTTTACAGGACCGGAGTTCGAAACAGGTGATTGGCACAGGATGTGAGTCTCATGGTCTTTATCATCTTCGTCCCTTTACACATGTTGGTGCAGTTATAGAGTCTCCCTCTCTTCTCCATGCTCAGTTAGGTCATCCAAGTCTTGCCAAGTTACAACAACTTGTCCCTGCCTTATCTAAATTGTCTAGTTTGGCATGTGAGTCGTGTCAATTAGGCAAGCATAGTCGTACTTCCTTTCCTCGTAGTGTCACACGTGGTGCTTCGTCCCCTTTTACCGTGGTTCACTCTGACATTTGGGGACCTAGCCGCGTTAAGTCTACTTTAGGTTTTCAATACTTTGTTACTTTCATTGATGATTATTCCAGATGCACTTGGTTATTTTTGATGAAAAATCGTTCTGAATTATTTCATATCTTTCAAACTTTTTTCAATGAAATTCAAACTCAGTTCGGTGTTTCTATTAGAGTTTTGCGTAGTGATAATGGTCATGAATATCTTTCTCATTCTTTTAAACAATTCATGGCTTCTCATGGTATTTTGCATCAAACTTCTTGTGCTTATACACCTCAACAAAATGGTGTAGCTGAACGTAAAAATAGACATCTTATTGAAACAACTCGCACTCTTTTAATTCATGGAGAGGTTCCTCAGCATTTTTGGGGTGATGCTCTTCTTACTGCATGTTATCTTGTTAATCGCATGCCATCTTCGGTTCTAGATAATAAAATACCTCATTCCATTTTATTCCCTCATGAACCACTTCATCCCTTACCTCTAAAATTTTTCGGGTCTACATGTTTTGTTCATAATTTTAGTTCTAGTCTTGACAAGCTTTCTCCTAGATCACATAAATGTGTTTTCTTAGGGTTTACAAGATCACATAAATGTGTTTTCTTAGGGTTTACAAGATCACAAAAAGGATATAAATGTTTTTCTCCTTCTCTTAACCGTTATTTTGTGTCTGCAGATGTCACCTTTGATGAGTTCTCTTTTTATTTTAAAAGTCAATCTTCACCTCTGTCTCCATCCAATCTTGTCAACACTCCTAGTACATTTAATGTTCCTGTTGTTTGTGACTCTTTAACTGTGTCTTCTTCACCATTAGATTCTACTCCACAGTCAACTTCTTCTTCATTGCCTCTTCAGGTTTATAGTTGCCGAAACCAATCACAACCAACACCATGTGACTCTACTCAAGTGCAAACTACTCTGTCTCCTCCGGATGTGACACCTGAGTCTGACCTTCCCATTGCCCTCTGAAAAGGTATCCGTTCTACACGTAATCCCTCTCCTCATTATATTGGTTTGAGTTATCATCGACTGTCATTACCTTTTTATACATGTCTTTCCTCTCTTTCTTCTGTGACCATTCCAAAAACTGTCTGTGAAGCTTTAACCCATCCTGGTTGGCATCAGGCCATGTTAGATGAACTAAGTGCTCTTCATAATAGTGGAACTTGGGAATTGGTCTCGTTACCGTCTGGGAAATCTGTTGTTGGTTGCAGGTGGATGTTTGCTATCAAAGTTGGACCTGATGGTACTATTGATCGCCTCAAAGCTCCTCTTGTGGCCAAAGGTTATACTCAAATTTTTGGGTTGGATTATGGAGATACCTTTTCCCCTATGGCAAAGATGACTTCTGTTCGTTTATTTATCGCCATTATCAACTAGATGTTAAAAAATGCTTTCCTCAATGGTGATTTGCAAGAAGAAATCTATATGGAGCAACCTCCTGGGTTTGTTGCTCAGGGGGAGTCTTTTGGGATGGTATGTCGTCTTCGTAAATCCCTATATGGCCTAAAACAGTCTCCTAGGGCCTGATTTGGAAAGTTTAGCAAGGTTGTTCAACAATTTGGTATGACTCGGTGTGAAGCAGATCACTCTGTCTTTTATCGACACTCAAGTGCTGGATGTGTTTACTTGATAGTATATGTTGATGACATCGTTCTTACAAGTAGTGACAACCATGACATCTCTCAGTTGAAACAACATCTCTGTCACCATTTTCAGACCAATTATCTTGGCAAACTTAGATATTTCTTGGGTATTGAGGTGGCACAGTCCAATGATGGTATTGTTATATCTCAGAGGAAGTATGCCATGGATATTTTAGAGGAAACTAGGTTGATGAATTCAAAGTCTGTTGATACGCCCATGGATCCCAATACTAAACTTTTACCAAATCAGGGGGAGCTTATACCTGATCTTGAGCAGTATAGAAGATTGGTTGGAAAATTGAATTATCTTACAGTTACTCATCCTGACATTTCCTTTGCAGTCAGTGTGGTAAGTCAATTTCTTAATTCCCCATGTGAAGATCATTGGAATGCAGTCATTCGTATCTTAAAGTATATTAAAGGATCTCCTGGAAAAGGATTAATATATGATTCTAATAGCCATACAATAGTTGTTTGCTACTCAGATGCTGATTGGGCAGGATCTCCTTTGGATAGAAGATCTACATCTGGATATTGTGTCTCCATTGGTGGTAACTTGGTCTCATGGAAAAGTAAGAAACAAAGTATTGTTGCAAGATCTAGTGCAGAAGCAGAATATAGAGCTATGGCCTCAGCTGCTTGTGAACTTGTTTGGCTCAAGCAATTGCTTAGAGAATTACAATTTGGAGATGTCACTCAAATGTCACTTGTGTGTGACAATCAGGCTGCTCTTCATATTAGTTCTAATCCCGTCTTTCATGAGATGACCAAACACATTGAGATTGACTGTCATTTCATTCGAGAAAAGATTATGTCTGGAGACATCAAGACTGAGTTTGTTAACTCAAGTGATCAGTTAACAGATATTTTTACTAAATCTTTACGGGGTCCTAGAATTGATTATATTTGTAACAAGCTTGACACATACGATTTGTATGCTCCAGCTTGAGGGGGAGTGTTAGATATTGTTTAGATATTATTTAATATTGTTAAGATATTGTTAGATATTAACCATAATATCAAACAATATCTTCTATTTATTCTGTTACTTTCAGTTACTCTTTTAGTTGTATCTCTCTACTATAAATAGACTACCCTATGTGTGATTTATACACAAGGGAGATTAATCCCAAACTCTATTTCTTCTATATTCAACAGAGGCCTACCACTTGGTTTAGGTGGAATGCCTTCTCCCTGGGCAGAAACTTTAGGTTGTTCTTGATCTCGAACTTTCAGATCTGTTTTGTTGGTTGAGGCTAAGGATTGTTCGGTACGTGGTTAACGTGATGTTGCGGTTCCTTCCTTATGTGTATTTGACCTAGTTCTTTGTGGTCGTTGGAGTAGCGTTTTCATTTCTTTACGTAGTGTCTGGAACTCAGTCTAGTGTTGCTTCTTTATCAACTATAATTCATCGGCCACCTTTTGTTGAATTGCTTGATGTTGTCTTCAAACTGCCTCTAATTCTTCTGTTGCCTTTTGATGAATTTGAAGTAGCTTAACATTGTTATGCTCTTACAAATGTTTTATCTCTTTTTGAGTTCTTTGTTGATACTCGTCCATGTGCTTCTTAAGGCTGTCAATGACGGTTGAAGGATCTATGTTGTTGGGGTTGGATACCGTCTGGCTACGGATTAAAACTGGTTAGGTTCATTAGGCCAATTTGTCTTAAAGATAATGGATGTCTTGGTAGTTTTACCTGATCAACTTATTTTGATCCATTCTCGTATAATTTGTCAACCCATAGATAAGAACAAGACAAGGTAAGCTGACTTGGTAGTCTCGTTTTAAAAATTATTTATATTAAATTATAATAAAAAAATATTATAATAAAAACTAATATATTTTTTAATTTTATGTTACTACAATATACAAATATATTATAATTTAAATTATAAATGTTAATTAATTAAGTTTAAATTATTGATTATAATTAATTATTTTAATATATAAATATAGTAATTTTTTAATTTATCTAATAAAAATAATAATTAATAAATAAAACTGTAAAATTATTTATATAATTTATGATATACTTTTTAAAAAAATACATATAAAAAAATATTATATAGAAAAAATTAACGCCCATTAATCCATCTACCCTCTTCTAATAGGATCAATCGAAGTTTGTAATCGTCTTGATTAAGACAAACTAATCCACTCCATTTTGTCTTTGACAAACTAAAAACGACAAAGTCAAAACAAGACAAGATAACTCATTTTATCATCTTAATTATATCCTTCTATTTAATAATATAATAATTAATAATCATTCTTAATAATAATTAAAATTTTAATTTATTATTATTATTATTATTATTGTTATATTAAAATTAGATTTTTTTATGAGAAGTAGTTGTCCAAATAGTTTTTTCCTTATAATATTATTTGATTACATAAAAAAAAAAAGTATATAACCGTGAATTCCACTTAATTTTGGTCCCATCATCCCCTCGTCATCTTAGCTTATAAATACACCATCTCAACCGACTACACCACCCACCCATTCAACTTTGACACCACTCTTTACATCTTCATAAAAAAATGTGTGCTGAAAATGGAGATTTCATTGTGAATGTGACCAATGAAGAGATGGTGGCAGCAGTGGTACCAATGCATGAACATTCGCTTCCACTCTCGAACCTTGACCTCCTTCTACCTCCACTTGATGTAGGAGTCCTTTTTTGCTACAAGAACCCTAGAGTTCTCACATCCACAACCTTGGGGGATTGTGGCACCCACAAAATGTCCTTTGGATCAATGGTGGGGTCTTTGAAAAAGGCCTTGGCACAAACCCTAGTCTCTTATTATGCTTTAGCAGGTGAAGTGGTGCTCAACAGCATAGGTGAACCGGAGGTGCTTTGCAACAATCGTGGGGTTGATTTTCTTGAAGCTGAGGCAGATGTTGAACTAAAGAACCTCAACTTTTACAACCCAGATGAAACCTTTGAAGGGAAATTTGTTCCAAAGAAGAAAAATGGTGTTCTTGCTGTCCAGGTAAAACTTTTTGTTCGTACTTTTTAGTGATAGAACTTTATGCATAACTTGAAACTACTTTGATAGAAAATATTAGACTATTCTTTTTTTCACATATCTTTCTAGTCTTAAATATTATATAAAAATATTAGCATAAATTAAAATAGTGTTTTTTATGTTTTATCAAAACTATATTCATATTTCTCGGCTAGTTTTCATTATTAAATATAATATTTTTAAAACTTAAAAGAGCGTATAGGTAAGTTGTAGATTTCATATATTTTAAATAATAGAAAACTGTTGTATATCATAATAGTTAAAATATATGATTCTGATACAAAGTACCATTAATAATATATTTATCTTGTTCCATAAAAAATAAAAGATTAAATGAAAATAAGCTTTTCAATTTTTTTAATCTATCTTTTTATTTTTCTTTTTCTAACGACTAATAATGAGTAACATTCATGTAGAAAGAAAATTTATTTTCTTTGTATAATTAATTTTCATCAAATTAATTATCATTTAGAAGATTAATCAAGATAACCTTCGTACTATCAATTGAAGTAATTTCTCGTACCAATTTCAAATTGATTATTATTAATTTTAAAACTTTTCATAATACCAATAGTTTTTTTATTAAATTATAATTAGATTCATAGTTATATTTCACATAAATTATATAATTAAATTAATTTATTTATTAATTCAGACGGTGTATATTATAAAAAGATAATAATGTAATGTTTTTAAAATATGTGTAAAAATAACATTTTTAAAACTTAATAAAATACTTTGTGATATAAAAAGAGACGAGAATGTAATATTTTTAAAATAGATGTAAAATGTAATATTTTTTGAAATTAAGAAAGTATATGTTTAATGTAAAAGGAGATAATAATATAATACTTTTAATTAAGACTATATAATATTAGTTTTTAATTATATTTTATCTATTCATGACTATTTTAATAATATACAGAGTTATCTAATGACTATATTTATTTGTAGAGTGTACATGTATCAAGTCATTCTCTAATGCCATGAAAATAGTACTATCCGATAGTATAAAGGTCATATTTTCAAAGGAGTCACACCTAATAAAATAATTTTTTTATTTATTTTAGAATTCAAGAAAGTCATTATCCTTGTTTTGAAAAAAAGAAAAAAGAAAGTGCAGATACTATTTTATATTTATGAAACAGGTCACATGCCATCATCCGTACATCTTTGGTCATATATATCCACCTCGACCTTCCATCAATTCCTGTTCCACAATTTTTGCAGGCTAGTTTGGTTCATTACATTTTCTTTTAGTTTACCAACAAATATAAAGAACCCCTTTAGATAAGTCACTTTCTTCCTCCATTCTGTACTTTATTCCTCACTCAACATATCTCTAACCTAAATAAATAAATATTATTATTATTTTGGGCGGTATATTTTTTGAAGCATGGAGTGCACATAAAAAATAAAAATAGAAAGAATATTTTTGTCATTTAATATAGATTGAGCTGCAGGTAAAAAAGTATGAAGTTAGAGGAAGAATATGCTTTTACTTCAAAACAACGTCATTTTAGATAAAGGTTAAGAAATACTTTAGGTGTCATTTTAGACCTTCCTTGTCCCAATATGATAATAACTTGTAGACTTCTAATCTAGTCAAGTTTGGACCCAATTTTTTTGTGTGCTTTTCGAAGCCCAAAAAGTTTGTAAGGCAATGGAGAAAGTGTGGCTGCTATTTGACTAGAAATAGAAATTTTAAATAACTTTAAATAAGAAAAAAAAAAGTATTTTTTGAGGTAAAAATTGGACATTTTAATTAAATTGACATCAAATATTATAATAGAAAAGAAGATGAGAAAGAAAAAAAAAACACTAATACAATTGAGTTTACCCTGTTGCAGGCAACATCAGTGAAGTGTGGTGGAATAGTAGTAGGATGTACATTTGATCATCGCATGGCAGATGCCTACTCGACAAACATGTTCCTGACATCATGGGCCGAGATGGCCCAGCCAACCAAGCCCAAAACTACGACCCCATGTTTTCGTCGCTCCCTCCTTAGTCCTCGTCGTCCATGTTCTATTCCTCGTTCCCTTCATCAAATGTACATCCCCATTTCCAAGCTCACTCCTCCTCCAACCACAACCACTCCTCTCTTCAGTCGCATATACTACGTAACTGCTCAAAAACTTCACAACATGCAGTCCCTTGTCGTCACCACCAATGGCAATGGCGCAAAACGTACAAAGCTTGAATGTTTCTCAGCGTTCCTGTGGAAGATGGTTGCACGTGCAGCTTCAAGAGACACGAGGGGCAAAAGGGTCGTGGCGAAAGTGGGTGTTGTGGTTGATGGAAGGAAAAGACTATACAGTGGTGAGAAAGTGCGGGAAGCGTTGATGGGGTGTTACTTTGGGAACGTGATTTCAATACCCTTTGGAGAGAAGCCTGTGGAGGAGTTGATGGAGAAGCCGTTAGGGTTTGTGGCTGATGCGGTTCACGAGTTCTTGGTGGAGGCGACCACAGAGGAGCATTTCTTGGGGCTCATTGATTGGGTGGAGGCTCATAGACCAGAGGCTGGGTTGGCCAGGATTTACTGTGATGGAAGCAATGAAGGAGGGAGCTTTGTGGTGTCTTCTGGACAAAGGTTTTTGGAGGGGAAGATGGATTTTGGGTGGGGGAAGGTTGTGTTTGCGTCGTTCCATTTTCCTTGGGGTGGTGAAGCTGGTTATGTTATGCCAATGCAAAGCCCTCTTCGGAATGGTGACTGGGTTGTGTACATGCATCTTACGAAGGAGCAATTGGAAGTCATAGAGTGTGAGGCTAGTGATGTTTTTAGACCCGTAACTTGGGATTACCTTAACCACTGATACTTGCTTCTGACTTCTTGGTTCTCTAGAGTCAGATAACTATCCTCTGTTAGATTATTCTCATTGTTTTTTAAGTTCTTTTGTTTTTCCTTTCTCACCCAGAGCTAAACTGTGTTATGATAGATAGATGGTTGGTTGGGCTTGTAAACCATGCAGCATGTTTATTTAGAAAGGTTATGTATACTAAATTGGTGATAACCATGCATTGATTAATGTCGGGAATTATAGTCACTCCAACTTAAAGAAGACATGTAATAGTGGTTTCATATATTCTATAATAACTGTTAAAAACGTTATTAAATGAGACGTTAATAAAAAAATGATGTTTAGATAGTGGTGCTATCATAAATAAAATATAATAGCGGTTAACGTGGAACCGCTATCATATATGTGTCACTTTTAAGAGTGGTTAATATTTTAACCGCTCTTAAAAGTGACACATATAATAGCGGTTAAAACGTCAACCACTATCTAAAATATACTTTTAATAGCGGTTAGTTCTAAAACCGCTCTCTTTTAATATGTTTAGATAGCAGTTCTCTAAACCGATATCTAAAGTCCCAATTTAAAAAAAATTATTTAAATTTTAAAATCTAAATTTTTTTCTCATAATTTGTACCTGATAGACGACAATTTCAGTGGTATATATCAAATTAATCTAATAAAATTCAACCAAGCATACAATATATATTCATAGAATTATAGAAAATAATTCAAAATTTGACAAATTAAAACTAAAATTTGCATGAAACAAAATTGGTATATATGTACATCAAATAATTAAAATGATTAAAAAAATCGCTAAGAGTCTATGGTACTAATTTTGTCTTTCAAAAATGTATGGTAGAAATATGCATTGTAGCTCCTCAATTCTATGGTCCGAAAAGGTAGTAATGCGAGATTCTTGAAAATACTGCAAACATAGATAGAAAAGAATCACAAAAGTTAAATACCAAATTAGATAAATAATGACAATACATTATTCTTTCATATAAACATAGTCATAATGAAAAATGGTTCTTACGTTAATTGGAATAGTAGTTTGTCCATGCTGCAGTGCATCTCCAATGAACAAGGCTACGTAATATCCACAGTCATTTGAGTTATTTTGCTTAGGACACTTTGTAGACCAAAAAACATAAAGTTAGTTTAGAATAACTGCCAAGTGAAATATAAGCATGTATGAAAACATGAATTGGGGTACACTTGATACCTGTACACTGACCCATCTTGTTTGATTCATCTTTGTCTTTGGTGTTCGAAGCCTCCTTTCAGCTCTATATATAAGCCTCCTTTCAGCTCTATATATAAGTAGGACACTGAAATAGTAAGAAGTTAATATAAATATCTTACCGTATTTGATATTCACATGCGAAACAATCATATGAGTTTACTTGTTAAAAATGTTGAGCATATGTGTTCTCTCCTTATAGTGATGGTGTAATGAATCAAAATAATACAATGTCTCATCCCGAGTATTGATAGCAATAAGAATCCAATGCGAACTAAAATTATTGAACACAATACAAAATGAGGAATAAAAATATATAATCAGCAAATTTTAGAATATTTGAAAGGAATTAATCAATCACACAAGAATAACTTACCCAACATTATAAGGAGCAAATACCAAGTGATCTTGACCCAAATGAAGCTTCAACATGTCTTCTATATGTTGATGTGGGTTGACATTGAGCTTCTCATCAAGCTCATATGGAGATATGAAGGAAAACCTACTTTCTTTATCAGTACCATGCAAGTAGGCGTCACACAAATACCTTATAATATAATTGAAGGTCAACAATGAATTAAGTTCAATATATATCAACATAAAGTAACCAACCTAAACAAATAGAAATTAAGTATTTATTATTACCTGATGTACAAGCAAATGCTAGAGGCACTTAGCCACTCACGGCGGATAACCTCTAGTATGTTCTCCTTCCCCACAACATCATAAAACTCCTTTCCCCAATACTTCTCAGGTAATTGAATATTAGCATATTCAATTGCCTGATCGCTCCTAAAAAATAGCTTCATCATGTCTAAGCATGTACCAACTTGAGCCAAAGTCATGTTACTAAGTTCTGATGAAGACACAACATCCTTTTTTTGTGGACCAACAATTGATTCCTTTGTGTGGCCTGTTTCTATTTCCTTGCCCTTAGTGGATGCTAATTGAACTTAAAATTAATCATATAAATTTTCAATTAACTATGACTAAATCAAAGTTAAATGTGTAATTGGTGTAATAAATGAACTGCAATACCTTTGGTCGTAAAGTAATTAATGACAAAGGCCAAGCAACATAGGTCCCAATAGCATCTCTTAGGCATAATAAGGATGCTTCTTCAACTGGAATGGGCAATGTTGTGTCTTCTTCATGACGCTGCACTACCTCTATCGAGACCTTTGCATGGTCTGGAGGAAGGGGTCGTGAATGTAAGGTCTGTCCTTTGAGTGGTTGATGCACTCTTCCTCATGCAACTATGCGGTAGGGGCTGTTCAAATGTAACATGCAATCATGATCACCCTACATGAAAAAAAAAGTTATTAGACATATACATATTGACATTGCTTAATTGTTGTTAATTATAAAGATAAATCATACCTGTGGGATCTCTGCAATCCAACTGGGGTGCAACTACCTCTATGGCTATCTGCAGGGGGTGGTGACATTGGTTGTGGATCCATGAAGGGTGGAGGCACTTGACTAGGCATGAAATGGGGCATCCCTTGACCCCCGGTCAATTAGGCCACTACCTGTGTCAAATGGGCTAGTTGAGACTTCATATCTTGCCACTCAGCAAATGATGGATGTGGAGTTGATGGTGATGGCACAAATGCAAGTTTCTGATTCACTCCAAACCCGATAGCTCTAACCCTACCTGGATGCTCTGGTACACCCAACACTTGAGACAAAATATCATGTCTCCCAGTTAAGTATAACGCAGCCTCTGGGGTACTCTGTGATAAAGTCTCCTACACATAACCATACAATAAGACAACAAGGGTAAGCAAAAATCAAATACATAAGTTGTTTAATAAAGACATTCATGGAGAAACTAGTGTTGTTTATTTCTATATCAACTTACAAATTGATCGACCATTTTCTAGACTCGATCATCATAGCCACCCTTCTTGTCAACCCTTGCAGCCTTCCATAACACATGTCTAGGTACAAAAGTGAGGGAGGATTCAGATGAAGCAATATGTTAAAAATGAAAAACAACTTAGAAAGCTCCCATTGAAAAAGAGAACAAGAAGCATAATAAAGACAAACAATAGACAATTGTACCAGCTCTTGCTCCAACTGAGCATATCCCTTCGAGGCCCTCCGATATCTGTAGGACATTCCCTTTGCCCTATCAATATTAGCCTCACTTTCCTTCTACAATTTCACATTCCAAAAATAATTAGTGTTCTATTTTTCACGGATCCAAGAGACTAGTTTTATGAAAATTACCTTAAACTCGGCAATGGTGGATTGTCGAACAAACTCGTCCCAATGCTCAGTTACCGTAGCAAACCGCTGTTACTTCTTTGGAGGTTGAGAAACAAAGTTCCCATTTGAACCATGGATTTCCTTTCGTAACCGTGTCCGAAAGGAACTTAAATCTCGTCCAGCTAAAGACAAAATAAACTCCTTGTGCTCCAATTGTACCTCAAAGCTTTGCTACAAAAAACACAATAAACCATGCACAATATCATAACACTAGCACTAAAAAATTGGGTAATTAAATATAAATAAATGAGATTTAAAGGATTAGCTACCTCAACTTGTTCCCATATGTTATCCTTGAGCAAGCTAGGTACATTACTCCAATCGGAATAACTAATCGGCACTGTACTTCTAGTCACATATCCTATGAAGTGTGCAAATTTAGATCTGTTAGGATCTATTGGCTGGCCCTTAGAGTTCCATCCAACCTATACATTATGAAGAAAGTTTTAAAACAACAAGAAAAGACATTATCGAACAATCACATCATATCCTTACCGGTAGTTTTTGTCCTAACTTCCTTGATTTGCTCACCGATTTCATTTTGGTCAATCCTCTAGTATTCTTCTTCTTCAACTTAGCAGATTTAGGAGACTCGACCCCTTCCATGTTATCTGAAGATGTCATCTCTGCAAAAAAAAGACAATTAGCAAAACATAACATAAAATGAATTTTCTAGTGCACGTTATTGAGATTATAACATACAAATAATAATTAAAATACATATTTGTCACACCTTCGTCGTTTCTTTGAACCACTTCCATGTTTTCTAATTCCCTTCATGGTATGAAATGATGGATTTAACCACACACCCTCTTTATGGCCATTTCTTGCATAAAAATCTCCATCATCCAGTACAGAATTACCAAACAATGTTGGGTCCATGCTCATAAAAGGATCATCTTCCACTAAAAATGGTGTTTCTTCCATGTTTTCGGCGTCAGTGAAAGCATTGACTTTATTTGATAATAACAAATAGATCATGCATGGTCATTAGGATCTGTGATATAAAATACTTGTTGAGCTTGCAATGCAAGGATAAATGAGTCATTCTCATAACCAATCTTCTTGAAATCAACCTTTATGAAGCCTAACTCATCACATTGAACCCACTATCATTCTCAAACCATTTACATTTGAACACAGGAACTTGAAAACCCACATAATCTAATTCCCATATTTGTTCAATACAACCAAAGTAAGACATCTTGGCATATATGGGATTTTTATCCTTTGCACTTGAAATATGTAAGGATTGAGCAACAAAAGTTACACCACTATTCTGCACTGTGCTTTGTTCATCATGCTCTTTTATGTAGAAAGTGAACCCATTAATCAAGTATGCAGTGTAAGAAAATGCATCAACACAAGGACCGATTGATAACCATCGAACTTTGTCTTCAACACTCTCCTCAGATACATGATCCTTTAGCCATGAAATGAACTTCTGATTATGCTCTTTTGTAATCCAAGCTTCACCTCTGTTAGGATTACTAAC